AATAATAATAATAATAATAATAATAATAATAATAATAATAATAATAATAATAATAATAATAATATCTGGCGGTTTCTTGGCTACCCTCAGGCGAGATCCCCGATGCGACATCGCGAGATTTCTTGCGCTGAGAATATGGCGGATCCGGAAGGAGAGTCACTAGAGTCTTGGCTTAGTGAGTAATTGGAAGGAAAAAATAATGTTCTATGAATGATAATGTTAATGAAACTGTGTTATTCAGAGACGTGTACAATACATTCCGCCCGCGAGTGACTGAACCATATAGCCTGATGGACTTGACAGCTTTTATTTAATCAATAAGACTGTAGCTGTTAGTTTTGGATCTTAGTGGATTTGCATGACATTTGCAGACAACTTGTGTACGCTGTCTTATATCACAGAAATGACTTAGTTTCCTTGCTGCAGTCAACAGTATGCTTGCATCTAAATTTCTGGTGCTTACGCAAACTGTAGAAAGATAGCTTGTTAGGGCTTTCTCATAACGGTTACCCGCAAGGATCGTTGTCATTTGCATTTGGTTTTAGGTTCTCGACTCTTCTCCCTGTGACGCTGGCATGAAACCGCGATAAGCGTATGTCTAGACACTGTGTAGTACTTCGTTATTAAACCATCAATTTATGCAGGCGAGTTTGCTTTCTTTTGTGGAATGTTGGAAAATCCAAGAAGGCATCTTCAGCTTGATGCACACCATACCGCATGTTGCAGATGTCCTGCTGGCATTTCTTTCCAACAAGCCGGTGTCTTTCACAACTAACCCCTTGCTGATCAGCCCTGCCGGTGTTGATATTAATCCGCATAATGAATTTACCTTTGTCACGTCCGTTCAATAAAATATCAGTGTACAGTACTTGCCACAAATCAGATTGTCAATAGCCTGATAGTATCTTTGGGAACTTTGTGTTGCAGTTGTAAGTGCTCTCTTTAATGGTCAGGGTATAATATATGATGAAGTGCCTCACATGTCTTTTAAGTATCATGATAATAATAATTCCTTACACTTATAATGCTTTTCTGGACACTCCACTCAAAGTGCTTTACAGGCAATGGGGATCCCCTCCACCAGCACCAGTGTGCAGCCCCACCTGGATGGTGCGATGGCAGCCACACACCAGCTCTCAGTGGAGAGAAGAACAGAGTGGTGAAGCCACTTCATGTCAATTAAGAATGATCTAATTCCATATAGTAACATGTAGTTAAATTAGTGCTGCAAATACTGGTATTCTTGACAGGCCTGTTTGTATCAGTAGTAGTGATACTGGCATATGTGGTTACATTGACATTTCAAATGTCCAGACTTTCAAATGGCTGCCCTCAGTTTTTCTTCTTTGGATCTTCAGGAACATAGGGCATAACACCTAAAGTGATGAAAGCCTCAGACCACAAAGAACCTAAGATGTTATCGTAGCTGCTTCATAAAGTTTTAAAACATTTGCATGAGTTTGAAACTGTGCTGGTGAGCAATTGCTTCTTAAGGAGCAATAATTTTACTCTCCTCCCCAGATAAAGCCACCAATCCCTCCAACAGACAGGAAGACTGGGAATATATCATAGGATTCTGTGACCAAATCAATAAGGAATTAGAAGGGTAGGTCACACTCTTTCTTAACTGTCTTCAGAGAAGTGGGAACAGAAAAGGTCTGTGAAGAGTGAGTTGGAATGGCCACTTAATGTGAAGGTCTGATATGAAGGGCTGTTTTGGGTCAAGGGTTGCAATTGCAGTACTGATGTCCAGAGCCTTCAAGATTATACAGTTTCAATAAACAGTGATTTGTAGATATTTCCGTTTACCGTTTTCCGTCGTGTGCTCCGCCCAGATAGAGATGCTGTGCGTGTTTTGTGAGCAAGCTCTGAATTGTTATGACCAACACTTTGCCTCTAAATCCCATTATCAGTATGGATCTTCAGGTGTTTCTGTCCACATGGACTGGGAAGATATGGCAGATGAAACCAGCTGTGTCCAGTAGACAGAAAGTCCAGAAGCCAAAAAGTCAAGGACATTGATACGAGTGTGGCAGACAAATTGCTCACATTCAGTAACCCATTTGGCTCCAATCCCAACATTTCTTTAATATACTCTAGGAAGAAGATTAAAATAATAAAATGAAGATTCTGTAAATACTTTAGATTGCAAATCCTGAAATCACGAGAAAGGTGAGTCACACGTATTGTGCATCATCTAATATTGTCAAAACATGGATTGCTTATACAAGGTAGGATGGATAGGCATGAAGATTTCTGTGTGTTGCTGGACAGTATGCTGCTTTTGGATCAAGGAGTTCTAAGCAAAAGGAAAATGTTTTTTTCTTTAGTCCACAGATAGCTGTGAGGTTACTGGCTCATAAAATCCAATCCCCACAGGAATGGGAGGCTATACAGGCCCTGACTGTAAGTACCAGCTGCTCCTGAGACATACAGTCAATTCCTGCAATTTCCCTGTGTGGTGTCTCTCTATACACAATCTGCATTTCTGCGAGTGTTTAAGCTTGGTGCCCATGTTTTGATTTTAACATTTTTTTTAATCACTGCAGGTTTTAGAAGCTTGCATGAAGAACTGTGGGAGAAGGTTCCATAATGAAGTTGGAAAGTTTAGATTTTTAAATGAATTGATCAAAGTAGTTTCCCCTAAGGTGAGTCCACAGGTATCAAATGATTTTGTCCACCTTGGGCAAATGGAAAGCAGTAGGTGACAAAGGGTGAAATATAAGGGCATCGGCTCAAACTCCAGACTGAGACAGCAGCAGACCTGGGCTAACTCACTCCTGCGTAATAGTTTCTCCCAAATAGACCAGATAATGAACAGTAATTAATTTGAATTGTTTTTGTTATTGAGCGCTTTTCAAGCCGTTGTTGGAATTGCTTTCTTAGGAACGTGGGTGTGTTGTACTTATCTAAAGCTAGTTCTCCAAATGCCATTCCTGCTCTGAGCTCTAATTACTTAATAGGACTTGTTGGCGAAAGAAGTCACAGCATCTGCCTTTGCAGGTCTGTTGCTAATTAAAAAGTACCTGTAAAACCAGCTGGTCCCTGGCTGTGCAGGATTGGAGTTGCCCTTCCCTGATGTAAAGGCTTTACTGTCCCTCTTATTCCTGCCTTCGTTTTATTTCAGTACCTGGGTGACAGGGTATCAGAAAGGGTGAAGACAAAAGTTATCGAAATGCTGTACAGCTGGGCGGTGGCCCTACCCGATGAAGCCAAAATAAATGAAGCCTATCAAATGTTAAAGAGACAAGGTAATAATAATAATAATAATAATAATAATAATAATAATAATAATTGCTTTCACTTATATAGCGCTTTTCTGGACACTCCACTCAAAGTGCTTTACAGGTAATGGGGATCCCCTCCACCACCACCAATGTGCAGCCCCACCTGGATGATGCGACGGCAGCCATAGTGCGCCAGAACGCTCACCACAAATCAGCTATTAGTGGAGAGGAGAACAGAGAGTAATGAAGCCAATTCATAGATGGGGATTATTAGGAGGCCATGATGGGTAAGGGCCAATGGGAAATTGGACGCCGGGGTTACACCCTACTCTTTTCAAGAAACATCCTGGGATTTTTAATGACCACAGAGAGTCAGGACCTCGGTTTTACGTCTCATCCGAAGGACGGCACCTTTTTACAATATAGTGTCCCCATCACTACACTGGGGCATTAGGACCCACATAAGCTGCAGAATGAGCGCCCCCTGCTGGCCCCTCTAACACCTCTTCCAGCAGCAACCTTAGCTTTCCCAGGAGGTCTCCTGTCCAGGGACTGACCAGGCTCACATCTGCTTAGCTTCAGTGGGCTGCCAGTTGTGAGTTGCAGGGTGATATGGCTGCTGATAGGTAGGTTGTGAGTCATCGCCCACTGCTTTTCAGTGAATCTCGTAGAATTGTGGGCTGGAAAGGGACTCGTTTTTTCTCTTTTGGGTTTGTGTTTGTTGTTAGATTAATTACAGTGATAACAATAATGGGATACCAGAATCAGTGCACTTTATTCTTACTTCTTTCTACACCTGCGCTTCATCTTCGCTGAAAGGCTGTGCAGCACACTGGTTGTAGCGTTTCCTTCTCAGGCACGCAGCTGCCCTGATGAAACTGTTTCCACCCTTTTCCACTGTCAGGCATTGTGACCTCAGACCCAGAGATCCCCGTCGACAAGACTCTGATTCCCTCTCCCCCGGCACGCCCCCGGAACCCCGTGTTTGAGAATGAAGAGAAGAGCAAGGTGGGGATCCAACATCAACACCAGTTCACCACAGCGTGAAAGACAAGGGGTGCTGGGGGGGTCTTTAACATTTTCCTTGTGCAAAGCACCATAGTGGGCGAGAGAAGGGATAGGTTGTTTCTCCATGTGTATATGACAACACTTGTGTGTACAGACAACACTTTCGCACTGTGTGCACTGTACATTACAAAGCAGTAAAGACTTGTGAATAATGACAGTACAGCAAATCACAAGAAAGTGGAAATGCAGACCAGTAAACACACAGGAGAATAAACATATGGTAGGCATGTAGCTACACATGAGGTGTTGTCATGAAATGGCGCCATCTTGATAGGTCTTGATGGTGTACAACTGTTCCAATTTAAATGAATGTTCCTTTTTCGTTAGAACCAGTCTAGAAGCGTATTGTTGCTTCCCCTTGTAGATCCTGGCTGAACTCCTAAAAAGCAAAAATCCAGAGGACTTGCAGGAGGCCAACAGGCTCATTAAGAACATGGTCAAGGAGGTAAGTGTGAGATTCACTTTCACTCATGCGTAAATACTCTGAACAGAGATGGGCGTGAAAGATAATCGGAAATGGCCTTTACTTTTCAGGATGAAGCCAGAATGCAAAAGGTGACAAAGTGTGCAAACACCCTGGAGGAAGTCAACAACAACGTGAAGCTCCTCAATGAGATGCTGACCCACTTCAGCAGAGAGGAGTCTTCTGAGGGAGACAGAGAGCTGATGAAGGCAAGCGTGGAGCCCTTTTCTCTTTACCCAATTCTGCCTGCCTAGCTGTGGCAGTTCTGGGTTAACTCAGTTCTGTGAAATTATTTTTCTTCCAATTTAGACTCAGTACTGCAATTAGATTGGCATTCTTTTTGTTATTGAGAGCTTTCAGGCTGTTGTTGGAATTACTTTCTTGGGAACGTGGGTGTATTTATCTAACTGCAGGACTCCCTCTGCACTGTCACAGGCCTGCAATTTCATTTCTGACTTCAAAATTAAGACGTACCTTTGAATGAGTCTGTTTGAAATGATGCACTGTGTGTTGCTAGACACAAACAATGGATGTATTGAAAAAAATCTCTGTGTAAACCTTTGGTTCCTGGTGGTTCTTTTAGGAGCTGTACGATCGCTGTGACAAGTTGAGACGCACTGTGTTCAAACTGGCCACGGAGACGGAGGACAATGACAGCAGCTTAGGTAACACATGTCCCGGCTGGGCGCCGATGTCTGCCATCGGTGCAGTTCGCTCTCCCTCATCGTGGATCCTCTTCTCTCTTACACAGGACAGATTCTGCAAGCGAGTGACGACCTCTCCCGAGTCATTAACTCCTACAAGAGGACAGTGGACGGGCTGGCAGTCAACGGAGAGCTTGATTCCTTGGGACTGGCAGCTCGCGAAAGTGAGATTTGCGTTTCCCGTGCTGTAATTCCCCTGTGGCATCCACCCCTGCTTAATGATCGTGGCGGCAATGTTTCTGTTTGTCCGTCTCTTTAAATACGTTACAGCAAAACATTATAACTTTCCCCCTTTTCATATTCCTTGTAATGGGAGGCTTTTATCTGCATTCATAGGAAAGCAATCCATCATTGCTACTTTTCCCCCCCCCTTTCTGCTGGGCAGCCCATAAAGGCAGCAGCAATACAGAGACGCTGATTGACCTGGCTGGCATTGACGTCTCGAGCCCCTCGCCCCCGGAACCAGCACCTCCTCCTCCTCCCAGGACTCTGGCTCCGGCTCCGGCTCCACCGATCCCCATCCTGCCCCCGCCCCCCCAGTGCTGCCCCGCCGCTCCGTCCGAGAGCCCCGGCGCTCAGCCGGCAGGCCGCGGCTCCGCTGCGCTCTCGCTGCTGGACGAGGAGCTGCTCTCGCTAGGTGGGTCGTCATCTTCTAGCCCTTTTTAATCAACTGGGCTTTTTGGGACAAGTACAGTCTATGTTGAACAGAAAACAATTCTTTTTTTTGCTTCTTTTGTACACGGGATGTTTAAGATTTCCTTATCAACCACTAGTCATACCGTCTTTCTTACGGTTCATTTTAGGCTTGAATGACCCAGTGCCCATTCCCAATAACCCAAAGGAAGATGCGTTGAGCAGTCAGTGGACCTCTCTGCAGGTAGTTCAGCTCCATCAGTGGTAAAATGGTAATGTAGGAGAAGCGTCATTTGTTGTATAAGACCTGGTGTTTTTCTTTGCCACAGGCTCCTAGTCCTGGGCTGGACCTTTTCAGCAACACACCCATGTCCACAGCCCCCCAGTCCTCGGGCTCTGCCTACCCTGCCGCCCCCAGAACCGGCTCCTACTCTTACCTCAGCCCAGCCCCCACGAACCCCAGCCTGCAGGACCTCACGATGCTGGACCTCGGGGAGCCCAGGAGGTAAAGGAAACCCCTGCCTCTCCTTGCCTTCCTCATGGTTCGTACGGTGTCTGCGAGAGCCGCCATCTTCTATCAGTGACTGTACGCTGTGCGTGCAGCACACAGTTTCAAGACATTTGAGTTTTCTGTCCCTTGTTGCTGCACACTTGAAAGTGTTCCCCTTCGCGGGCGACTCTCCTGTGTTTCTAGAATCGGTTTTATATTTTTGTTTTCTTTTCCATATCCTCAGCATGCCCGCGCCCTTGAATCCAGGCTCCAGGTTTGGCGCGGGCGCCTCTGCCGGCCCTGTGGTTCCCACCATGCTGGGGTTCCCCGCCGCCAGCGCCACCCCGGCCCCCCTGAGCACAGGCACCGCGGCGGCGGCCCCCTTCTCCCACTCCCTGGTGCAGGCTGCGAGCTCCTCCTCCACCCCTGGGAGCCCCCTTTTCCGCTCGCTCTCACCCATCCACCTGCCCCCCCAGAGCAGCCCCGCCAGGGGTCCCGACAGCTCCCTGGCCAGCGTGCACGTCCCTCTGGACTCCATCAAGCCCAGTGAGTCCCGCCAGCCCACCTGGCTCCGCTCCTCCGAGCTCCGTGCTGCAGGGACCGCTGCTCAAGAGGATGTTTACCGACGGGGAAAAAAATTAAACTGCCGATTATACTATCAGCCTGCCAGTAAATAAATGTATCCCTAACGAAGAGCCCTTTGATACTGTGTGTGCTTCGTGTGACACCAGAGCACAGTCCTCACCTTCTACAGAAGGAAGCGTTAGGATAAAAATGAGTCATCACGCTGATAAGTAAGCTTCAGGGAGGCAATGAGCCTGTAAATGCAATCTAATGAAAGCTCATTTAGTTCATTGAAAATCCCAGTGCTTCTAATAATTACCAGTCCAGTTAACATAAGTGCTTTTTTTCTGCTTTAACACCGCTTCTCCTTGCGGCTCAGGTCAGGTCTTGCCGGTCACTGCCTACGACAAGGATGGAGTCCGAGTCCTGCTGCACTTCGCCAAGGAGTGCCCCCAGGGCCGCCCCGACGTGCTCGTGCTCGTGGTCTCCATGCTGAACACTGCCCCCCTGCCCGTAAAAAACATCGTGCTGCAGGCAGCTGTGCCCAAGGTGACCAGCACACACTCAGCCCAGATAACCTCAGCCTGAGAGTGGCTGTGAGGGGCTTCAGTTTTGTAAGAGCCTCCATGAGGCACTGTAGAACGTGCAAGATTCAAACAGCTTGAGGACACGGCAACTGTTTACAGGATGAATGCTTCTTTTTATCTATTCATTTGGATCTCGTGATGTTTTTTTTTTTTTACTTGAGGGTGCAGTAGGTTGACTAAGGCTGCTTTCTTGTTTCCACTGTATTCCATGGCAGTCGATGAAGGTGAAGCTGCAGCCTCCCTCCGGAACAGAGCTGGCGCCTTTTAACCCCGTCCTGCCCCCATCAGCCATCACCCAAGTCATGCTGCTCGCCAACCCACTGAAGGTAGGATCGCTAGCAAATAGTAATGCTGGGCTCCAGAGTGGCTCGGGCCAGTCAAGGTATTCATGTAGAGTGCAGTAGTTCAGACGTTGCTGGTTCCAGTCAGAGCACAGGTTAGGATGTAGCTCATTCTATCACTTGCCAGCTATGATTTTCCCAGCAGCACAAAATTAGCAGGGCTAACTCCCCAGGGCAGCGGATGGCTGACTTTCGGTGCTTTCAGGCTTTCGGTCAGAAGATGATTGTTTCTGACCAGTGACCCTTTCTGCTGGTCATCTTGTCTCTTACGGAAGGCCTAGTCTTAAATACCTGGCAGTATCAAATTGTGTAGATACTCTATGATCCCATTGTTCTTGCTAATCCCCTATCTTACCATGAGAATCCTCTGACAAGTCTATCAGCACACTTCCCAAACACATCACGTCTTAAATTCCTGTAAGTCCACGTTCCTATATTTGTTAGATGGGGAAATGGAGTCACTGCTTGTATGTGTACTGCTCTTTTGGCTCACAGCAGAGATCACATGCCTGTATGTTTCTTGCAGGATAAAGTGCGACTGCGGTACAAGCTGACTTTCACCCTTGGGGACAGGCCTTGCACTGAGGTGGGAGAAGTAGACCAGTTTCCTCCAGCTGAGAAATGGGGGAACCTATAGCGCCCCTGAACACCTGATGACGGGGTGACCCATGATGCCAGGCGAAGAGACAGATTGACCTTACATTGCTGGGAGAAAAATCAAAGCGTTGATGAATGTTTTCTTTAGTAGTCAAGTGCTATTACTTTTACACAATCCATTATCGCACACATTTTAATCACTTTCAGTTGTCAGCTGATCTTTTTTTTTTTGTTTAACTCTTGCAATTCTAAATGTCCTGCCAGCCCTAGGCTGTTTCAAAGGCTGCACTTTAAGAGATGTTCCAGTATTGGGGGGGGGGACAACCCTGCATTTGCTACCGGTATCGCAAAGTATGTGTCTCTTCTGAAAGAGTCCGACTGTGCGAGATGTGTATACTTAAATTATTACGCTGAAGATGACTTGAAAAGAGCTTGATGCTTTACTGAAGGAGGAGAAGGGTAGCGTGACAGAAACACAGTATGCCGAAGGACAGTTCCAGCTTGTACAGCGCATAAAGCCAAATGGGAAAACCAATTAGCTAATCGGAAGTGAACAGTTCTTGTATTGTTCAGTTATTGGAGACCATGACTGATTGGGACTGCAAGAAATTCATATTTACCCTTCCCCTGCAATTACTTTACCAACCATGCCCACTTCTTTTACCCTGGTGCTCAAATAGATGGCACTAATTTTCTCTGCATTTGGGGAGTAAATAGTTCTGATGACTCAGATATGACGTCATGGCCTAATTGCTACTCTGCTTAGTGCTGTTGTCCTTTTTTATTAGATATTATTTATTCAAGGTATTTTGTAGTCCATGAAGTATTTGTACACTGGTGACTACCCAAATATTTTTGTTTTTGATGTAAATTTTAATTATTATTATTATTGTCTTACAGGTGTGGTTTATAATTCTGGATTATTTTGGTGAGAAAATATTTGGTTATTGTACCTAAAACAACCTAGAGTAATACAGTGTAACCTTACCCACAATACAACATAATCGTGTGTGGTTTGCAAAAGTTCATTTCTCACACTGTATTACTTTTCTGTGAGTGTAGTTATACAAAAGTATTATTATTATTGATTGGTTTGAGATAAGGATTGATAACATTTTGCTCAAACCGGTTGTTACACTGCTGAATTTATCAAAACACTGAACAGCTCCCCACTGGCCTCTTGTTATTTTCTGTATCTCTAGGCTGCTATACTCATGTTTTTTTTTTTAAATTAGCTTTAACCTTTGCAAATCTCTAGTGGTAGAGCATGCTTACAAAATGCAAAAGACTGCACACAGGAAGTCAGATATGGTCTTAGTATTTAGACTGGCAAGATACTGTCCAACAGCCTGAACAATCTCAAGAGAATATTCCTAATGGCTTCTGTGCTGCGTGGCTACAGCATGAGAAACGAGAGTGCGTCCCCCTCTGTGCTTTCTCTTCCCTTCATAACGTTTGCCGGCCCAGAAGCCTTTTCTTCTGTCAGCACCGATGTTAAAACTCTTTTTATGTGTTCTGTTGTATTTATTGTCTACTTCTAGAGATGTTTCTGTTCAATGTAACGTAACGTGCATCTCTCTTTAGCTAAAACCTAACAAAAGTTGTAAATATTTGAGTGTTGGAAGTTGTTTCACTGCATGAAGAATTAAAAATCTTCGTTTTAAAGCAGCCATAACTGGGTCTCCCTGCCTACACTGTACTGGACACGTCCAAGTTTACCCTGTACCGTCCCGGAAAAATAAATAAGCCCCGTGTTCTTTTTTGCAGGCTGTAGCTTAACTCACTGGTCACAAACCAATTCTATGAAGAAAATGAGCTTTATTATCTCGGCAGAAAAAAGGACCCATAATAAAATGTATATACACGAGTAGAGAATTGGATCGGTTTTCACCATGAGTCCACCGTGCCCTCCTCCACAATCGCGGAAGCCAGGTTCCGTGCCAGTGCAAGACGGAGGAGCTCTATTTTAGTGGTTTTGATGTCTTCAACCTTAGAAGAAACAGCAAATGTATTATAATAATAAGAACAACAAACTTTATTTTATATAGCGCCTTTGAAGGTGGCTTCTCAAAGCTCTTTACAGAACACCACCAACAAAAAACTACACAATGAGAGGAGACAATAGATGGGGGTAGTGAATACCGTAGAAAGTTAGGAAGTTTGGGGAGACCAGTTTACTCGAGACTCTCTCAACGCCTCCTATACACCCCTATTGTTAATGTAGATGCACAACCGCAGGACTCCCTCCCAACAGCTCCTCAAGGGGAACAGTCCAGCACATTTTGCGAGTCTTTCTAAATCAAGAGGAGGGTCAAATGTGCTCAGTTAAAGTTTAATTGGGCAAATATAAACTCCCTCCACTGGTCTGAATCTGCTGATGATTTACAAATGCCTAAAGGTCCTGCTGGGCTGTTGCCCTGAAAGACTGAAAAAGAAATATAAATATAAAATAAAGAGTTCATTTTAACCTAACACATAAGAAGTGTTTACACGTCTCATTCTCCAACTTACATGACCTACGTGTTCATCCTTTGAGTCATCTGCTCCGGACGTGAGTTCCTCCAGACAGTGCATGAGTTCATATGTTTGCTCTGCTGAAAATATCACCTGGGGGAAAAAACAAAACAGGACTTGTGAACAGAAGCTGGGACGCGTCCATCCTGTCCAGTAAATACAAAGAAGCCAGCCTGCGCCCGCTAGGGAGGGTCCATGTTCTGACCTGTTTTTGCTCCAGGAGAGGCAGGGCGTCGGTCAGGAGGGTCATCCAGAAGTTCTTGGGGGCAATTCTGGCCGTCATGAGGGACAGCAGCAGCTTGGCCGCTTCTGGGAATTTCTTCTCCCCGTACATCTTGTGAAACTCGCGGTACTTCCCTGCAAAACCACACACTGCTGCTCAACACCACACGACACTCCTTATCGGCAACGCGGTTCAGTCAGCAGCGCACACGACAGGCAGCTGAACCTGGAACTACACTTTATTTAAATGCAAAGGGAAGCCAGGAGTAAAAAAAAAAAAAAATGTTTCCTTTTCCAAACAATTGCTTTAATAGCAGACTCTTACTTTCACAGCACTAACATGCATCAATCCAGTGAATAGCAGGCTAGGAATGAAGTTTTGTTCCTGAAGCATCTCTGGCAGCATAAAATCTTGAGTTAGATTTTGGACAAAGTCAGCAAAACTGCAGTAATTCATTCTATATCAGTGGTCCCGCAGGGCTGGTGTGCCTGCAGGTTTTCAAGGGTTCATTAAAGCAACAGCACCTAAGAGTTGGAAGAAGCTGTTAACTTGGACTCATTAAGCCAATAATGAGCTGCTTTTTAAGAGCCTTGGTGTTCTAGAAACCCACAGGCACACCAGCCCTCCACGAGACTCCCTGGAGAGACTGAGACCCCCCTGGAGCCATCAGCATTAGGAAGACAAAAGTGCATGAAATGACCTTTATAAAAGTGAGATGGGGAAGTTCAAACAGGTCGAAGTTACAGATATGGAAGGAAAGGCAAGAGACCTTTGCAAGCATTTTTTTGGGGAGTCTGTTTTGTCTGGGGGAACGAGCATTACCCAGGAAGGTGAGCCTATCACTCAGCAGCATGGCTGGCCCCAGGTTGTCTATCAGGTCCAGGTCAGAAAAGGTGCCGCGGTCACAGTAGTCCTGAAGGAACCTGCGACAGGGTGCAGAGGGAACGCAGATCGTGGGAACTGGGCGTGATTGGGAAGGGACACACATGGAAAATAACCAGATGGGAGGGACTGACCTCTCGAAGTTAACAAGGTCTTAAGGCGGGACTGACCTCTCGGAGATAAGGGTGGCGAAGGCGGCGTCTTTGGCTCTGATGCTCCAGGAAAGCGCTGAGCCCAGGCGTTGGTTGCGCAAAGCTTTCATAGCCATGATCTTGCAGATACTGCGCACTGACAGAGAACGGCAAGGCAGAAAATGAGATTCTTCCCGCTATTTGTAAATGTAAGCATCTCAGGGTGTGAAAAAAAATTGCAGGTGTTGGTTGCATCCGGAAACATTAGGTTATGGGTTTGTTGCAATTAGTTCTTCTCTTGCATACTCAATATGACCTTATTAAACCCATGACTTATCATGCAGCAGAGGTCTGAGACATACAATACAGATAACAAACAGGCTGTAGGGGGAAGGTCTATGGGAAACAAACACCTCATCTGGATGTTTTCATTATAGGACAGACGTCTCTTGTTGCAGGGCAGTGACTTTATGAACACGCCTAATAGGAAGCCCATCTGTTTATCTTGACAGAACACACGCAAAGTTCCAGCACTCTGTATATTAGAGCCCATGCCTCCCTGCAGGACCCCTTTACCTTGCTCTGCCATCTGCCTCTGTTCGCAGATCCGCAGCACCTTCACAGCCTTGCGCTCAGTGTCCAAGGGCACCCTCTCGATCTGCATCTCCAGGTACACTCTCCCGAACTCCGGACAGTGGTCAAAGTAATCCACCGCCAGCTGCCACAGGCTGGGGACAGGCGACACAGGAATGAGACTGTGCAAGTGCACGGAAGAGGGTGTGGCAGACTCCTTGGCCGAACATTTAGCAAAGTAACATCAACAAAGCGTCTCATTCACAGGATTTTGGACCCACTTAAAGACGTGCCTTTTTTCCCCCAAGTCCGATATGTAAAAGTTAATTGGTTAACGATTAGAGGTAACAGAATTAAACCTGCAGGAACCAACAACAAATTATGAGCACAGACAGGATGAGAAGGCCAACAGAGATAAGGGTTTTCGGAATAATGGCATTACTTCAAAGTACCTAGGTATTTTAAGGGCATGTCAGATGGTAATGAAGGACTTCCTACAGACATCTGTTCTGTCTTGCATAAATAGATATAACATGGTGATTTCTTAATGTTTTTTTTTAATTCCCCTCGGGTACCTCTACATACATAGAATCACTACATACCCCATCATAGGGGCCAATAACGACCCAGTCCTGTTCACGTACCTGTGATGGGTGAAGAGGCCAGAAGCATATTCCAAGAGGAGAAACTCCCTTAGATTGGAACCAAAGCTGAAGCAAAATAAAATTCAATCACAATCAGATCAGGGAGTTGCTGTAAACATTTTCTAAAAAAAAAAACCCAAGCTGACTAAATGTAATTATGCAAGATAAAGATTAGCAAACCACTAATTCTGAACTTCTTCATTCAAAACAAAGTCTTAAAAAACAGCTATAAATGGAAAGCAGGTCAAGGTTAATAAGTAGACAAGGAGTTGAATCTCCCCGTTGTTAAAAAAAGCTTAAAATACAAATCACAATTCCTGCCAGCACACATCAATGGACAGTTTCACTCTGCTTCTGAAACCAAGTATCTCAATCTCAAAGTGCAAGCTGCAAGGTACAGTGTGTCTTCTAATGGCTGCCCTGTGTAGAACAGTCACGCACTTACTGAAGGTTGTGGGACTGCAAGAGCTTGCAGTGATCCAACAGGTCTGTCAAATGAGCAACGAACCACCAGTTATTGAGGGCAATGCTGAAGGAGAAGGACAGGAAGAGAAAAGGGACATGATCATCACAAGAGCACAACACCCCTGCTGCAATTCCACCCTGCAGCAGTGTGACAGAAAGGCCTGTCACTGAGGCACAAGTCTTGAGATTTTTTATCATCATCATCAGACTGGAAACAGCCTCTACGATGTCAGGGTTCTCACCTGCAGTCCTTTATGACCTGGTGGATGTCAAACTCGAATGCAGCCAACAGGATGCTGTCCAAAGGCTCCGGAGCACGAGGACCCAAGAACATGTCCATGCTGGACTGGAATTCCAAGACAGTAAACTTTCACTTTTCTTATTTCACAGAGGAGATGAAAGTAAAATTACAGCAGTTATTCTTCGAGGTAGAATTGTTTTCATTAGTTCTATACCAGCATTGATGGCATAAAAAAAAACTGACAAGGTATCTTTCCAAATAGTCTCCCTCTGCTTCCATACTCTAGTGTACTGACACCTGCCGTCTTAAAAGGCAATGCTAACAAAGCCTTAAGTCAATTCAGCCATCACAGATTTTATGTAAGTACTGTTAAGCCGTGGAGGGCTGTACATCGAGATGTGGTTGAGTGAGGCGAGCCAACACTAGCTTGTTTCCACCTGGAAAAGATAAGTACTGATCTGCCACTACCTGTGCGTAGTAATGGAGCTCTGTAGGCTTGACAGTGGGTTGTGTGTACAGGAGACGGGTGACCAGGAAATGGTACCAGGTGCCCAGGAGCTCTTTCTGCTCCAGCAGAGTGTCTTCGTCGCCCAGAAGAATCTGCAAACGAAAATCAAAGTTAACCGGACGGTTTCTGCTGATCCGCCAATCCCAGGTGAGGAACGGGACTCTCAACGTTCACCTCCGAAACACCTCGCCCTTTGTCATGGTTTACACCCTCAGAAATCATGAAATCGCAAGTGACTGCCTGCCGAGGATGAAGACTGTTAGTCAGCTGCCATCATACGCCGTTGTGTAATCAGACGTTTTATTATCACCAGCACTGACACAACTTGTGTTTAGGTGTAAACTGCAGGAAATGGCATTGGAGTGATGTCATCCCAAGCTGAATTTACGATTCAGAGCCTGCACACGCACTGTTCTCCTTACTGGTATTAGATAGAGAAGGTATTCCAGGGCAAAGTCGTTACCCCCGATGCAAGACGCGCTCTGGCCGAGTAAACCCTCCTACGAGGCGCCACCCGACGACGAGGCTGAGCAGCGCTGCTTGCGAGTCCCGGCGAGGGAGGGCGCAGGCCTGTGCGGCTGCCCGTCCCGGGTGGCTACCTTGCAGATGAGCTCCAGGTGGGGGTCCCCAGCAAAGGAGCGGTCCTCCAGGCAGCGCGTGCACTCCTCACGCCAGTGACGCCACCTCACATCGAACTCCGTCAGCGTCTGGTTCCCCCCCGGCTGCGCGCCACAGAAACAGAAACAGAACTTCACCAACTCCGCTCGCCACCCACTTTCACCAGGCAAGAGGCAAACATTGTATTGTCTTTATTCCTATTTGTTTTTTCTGGCTCGATTATTTCCTCCCCCCCCCCATCCTATTTGCATCTGACTGCAAAATACAAGGACTCTGGAAAAGACGAAAAGGTGCTTCCAACTCACGCTACGGCCAAGAAACACGTCACGCGTCACTTCTTCAAGCATGTCACGGTGACAGGATTTTACAAGAACGTTTTTAATTGCTGCCAGGATGCATGATACCGAATGGCCGAATCTGCCTAATGTGGATGAAATGCACAGTGAATACGTCAAGAGGAAAATGTTCGGTCCATCGCCGATATCGTTTGAGAAGTGCAAAGGCGATAAACATCTGTCCCAAAAAAAAAAACCGCAGCTGGTTCGTACGTTGTAAATGGGCATTTTCATCATGAGGTTGTCCAGCAGCTTGTACACGGCTCGTGCCCCTGGCTGCTGGGAAGCCTGCTTCCCCAGGATCTGCCTGGCCTCGTCCATCCGACCCTGCAGGACGTAGGAGATCACCTGGAGGCAAGGGGTGGAAGATCGGGAGAGGATGAGGAGGAGGAGAGAGGCAGACTGGTGCAGTTACAAAAAGGTGAAGAGCACAGCAATTCTCCAACAGCAACAGCAAAGGAAGGCACATGTACCCTCAAATGAGCACTGATGTTTTAGCCCACAAGCGGCACTAAATACTGCTGAAGCCGCGATTCAAATCTCTCTCGATCGAAACCCTGCAGGCTGGGAGCGGCACAGAGAGTCTCAGCACAGCGCTGGCTCCTTCCTCACAGCCTGCTGAGACGGCAAAGGCTCTCACACCTCAGGGACACGGTGGTGTCGGAGGTCTGTGCCAACGGTAGAATAACTAAGACGAGCAATGCCGCCGTGGGGATCTGGAGGGTAGCTGAGGCTAGAATAAATGAAAGGCCGTCACAGGTCTGATTCTCACGGGGACTACGCTGTTACAGTTCCAATGCTCTTGGTTGAAACCAAATCAGAAACTTTATCCCAAAACCCGAGATGCAAGAAGTGGAAGACAAGAGAACTGCTGTCAATAATCCATTGGTGGTGGTGGAGGTGATCCCCATTACCTGTAAAGCGCTTTGAGTGGAGTGTCCAGAAAAGCGCTATATAAGTGTGAGGAAGTATTATTACTGTTATTATTAATAACAAAATAAAACACACCTGCCCTGCCAAACCTCTTGTTTTCCCAATTAACGAAATCACGCATCAGAAAATAACGGTAGCGTTGAAACTTTTTTCGGCAGGATCCCAATTTAAGGCAGCGGCAGAAACCTCCCCCCCCCGAACACACAGATGCAGGAAAAGGGGGTCCTCCCCCACCGCGTACCACGTCCCAGTAGGAAGGGTGCTGCGCGGGGCTCTCGCTCTGCAGAACCTCATGAGCCTGCTCATCGACGCCGGCCTTGTGCAGTCGAACCCAGTCCAGAAGGTGCAGCAGAAGGGTGCCAGCTTGAAAGGAATGATTGCAAACATTTACCGTTAACCACATGCAAGACAGCTCATCACTAACCCTGCACTCTCTCCCAACACACAGGCAGGGCAAGGTGAGCCTACACAACCATTTTCATCTGGCTGAAGGTCAGTGTGTACAGTGGCTTTCCAGAAGCCAAGATTAACCTTTCATCTCACCTTCCCCCTTCGATCAAATGAAAAATTATTTTTAGAACCTCTCCATCCATTTACAGATTTAATCTTTTCACACCTCTCCCCCAAGTCTCTCTTTGTTTGGACACTTTTTCTCCCCTTTCTTTGTCTCATCTTTCTTACTACGTTTCAACATGGAATTAACCTTTATTTGTTCCACTACATTCACGCTGCTGGGAGACTGAGCATACAGGAACTACTGTTAAAACCGCAAGCTTCCCATCTTGACCAGATGCAATAAATAAACCCTTCGTAAAAAAATTAATCCAAATTAATAAATGTAATTAATTGTAATCACTAGGAAAGATGGGAATGTCATACAATACTTTACAGAAACTGGAAGGGACCAGGTTTACCTTCACAGAAACACTATCAACCTTTACCCAAAAACTAATGTTCACAAGCTCATGTTCATGAATACAGTCTGTAAAGTTGGATGCATAAAACACAAACCTGGGGCAGCATCGATGAACAAGACTTCACATAGATTCCAGATGAGCTCCACTGCCAACAGAATTGACACCTGTATGGATATGCACAGATCTTTAGTTTGTCTGGAGAACGTCAAGGGGTAAAAAGACCACTCTGTCCATCTTTAGTTACTTTCAGCCTTATGAGTTTTACAGTTTCCTAATTGAAAGCTTTTGAGTTTCCACAAAACGTCTCTTGACGTGATTTTTTTACCTCCTCCCCAGCAACTCTGCTGAAGCCCAAGGGAAGATGAGAATTGCAGCAGTGTCAGAAGCTATGCTTTTCCACAGTTTGCATGCAATCAATTCAGTTACATCAATGCGTATGAAGCAAGAAGCTTCAAAAAGAGCTTTCCCAACCTGATTGCCATACTGTGTTGCTAGAGCCGCGTCACGTGCAGAAACTGCAGGGAACAGAAAAATCAGACAAATTAATGGCAGTGCTAAGAAATCGAAAAAGGATAGTTTTAAAAAAAAATCACCCTGCAGATACTGCTGTCACAGCCCTGAGACGTGTTCTGCATGACAGGAGTGAAACTCTTGGTACCTGCATTCTGTTGGAGCTCCTCCATACAGGCCCGGATCACTGATCGGTAGTTCTTACTAATGCTGACAAACCTGCAAATACAGGAGGACAGTTCAAGCATCCTGCATCGTGTCTGGGGTTTGCTGTGAATTGTGCAGAGAAGTCGTTTAATCTCATTTTTAATTCTCATTCTCAGAGAAGTCACTCTTACAACCCCTTGAGTTTTGGGATGCGTTATAAATGTTACATGTTGTTATGCGTTATACTGTACATGTGCAACAGAGTGATGTGCAATGTTTTTCTTATTTTTATGTAATAGAATAATGTGCAATGTTTTTCTTTTCTTTTGTTTGCATTCTATTTAAATGTACAGGAGTGCTAGGTGTCCATAAAAAAATTCACACAGGGGACAATAAAAATCTTATCTTATTTGACCACAGCATTAAAAAAAAAAAAAAAAAAAACTTGAAATGGTACATTACTCGTCACAATGACCAGATTCATCCTGCATGGATTTTACCCCACATGGATGAGAAACGTTACTACGACAAAAGAACAGAGCCCCCACCCACACCCCCGTCAGATACTCAAAATCAGTAAGCCATCTTTCTACGGATCTCCATGGTGACGGAGGCCGTGTACCGAGGCTTCTTGGCCTTGCTGGCGGTGTCGTCCGTGCTCTTCTGCAGCTGGACGAAGATGTGGTGGGACTCGTTGAAGAGCTTGCGCAGGATGGGAGAGTAGATGTCTTCATCCTTCCTGACCACGTGGATCCACGGGCAGCTCGCAAAAGCAGCCGGGGCTCCTGACGGGGCGATCAAGGAAGAACAAGTCTCCATTTGAGCTGTAGCAAAAAAAGAATCACCCAGAAACAGGCACCGTGTAACGGCAGGGAAGCCTCACCTGCTGTCTTGTACTGCGTCTCATAGGTCAGTATGTCCCTGGGACCCCACACAAAGCCCAAGTGCTTCTGCCTGAAGTCAACACCTGGGATGAGCTGCAAAATAAAATAATAATAATAATAATAATAATAATATACTTTAAATCGAAACCAGGAGTCAGACAGGACACTAAACGCGTCTCTGTGCTACCTTTTATTTTCTCTAATCAAGTGGTCTTGTTCAGGACTGAGCTGTGCATTAAGTTTTTTTTTATAATTAAATTAAATGAATCCTTTATCAAATCAGAAAGGGGTCCTGAACAACATGTTTTCGTTCGCAGTGAGCACCGGCAGACCCGGGACAAGCACCGGAGCTGTCTGACGGAGAGAGACGACAGCGGCGAAACGTCCGGGATTTGAACTCACGACCCTCCTCCTGTCCGGCAGACCAAAAAAAAACCCCTTAACTTTTACTCCTAGCTGCAAGAAAAGCGATCCCCTGAAACCAGCTCTGAACAATAAAAAGATCGTGAAATGCTGTGCAATAATGTTTCATGAAGTTCTGAATGACCAAATATCCTAATTTCACCGGGATCGCGTCAAAGCGCTGGCACAACTGGAAACGTGACAAATTCAGCCTCAAATTCAAACAGAGGCGAAGACCACTCGTAGTCTTTATTACAGCCGCCTCTTCTTCATTTCAGGAGCTAGCAAACACCCGCTTTCTTTAGGCAAATGTGCGACTACAAAACTGAACAGACATCCCTCTACAGTGTTTCTATACGGTTCCCCCCCCGAGTTACAAATTATAAACCAGAGAGAGAACATACTGTTGTGGTCGGCTCGACATCCACCTCCTCCATTTCCTACCGAAAATGAAAAAAAAATAAATAAATAAACCTTTGCAAAGATGTTTCCTTCCGCAATAAGTGAATCAAAAAAAAATTCGCATGTGTAAGAAACTAAGCGCATTGAGATTTTTGTAAAAAAAACGAGACAGGACCCCATGTGCCCGGGCTTGAGCCGGACTGTCTACTCAGATGCCTGCGTAAAATATTGTGAAAGCAAAAGTGTTGAACGCAGCTGATGGTTGTTCCTGGGTTTCATATCTTTTAAAACCGCGTTTAGGCATTTGAGTTTTTGTGTGATTTATTCACCACGAAATACGGCAGTATTTTAGACGTGGACATATTTGTTTCAAATACATACTTTTTAAAAAATATATATTTTTGTGATCATCTGTGCTGGAGGGAACCTGCTTCTCAAACGAAAGGAACTGGTCTCTCTTTTCACATGTGAACTGGAACAGAAACATAGTGGGGGGGTATTTTTAAACTGGAGATTGATTTTTTTTTAAATATAAATGATCATTTTAATGTTTGATGAAAATACAAATGGACGCATTCAATTAACTACTGGGTTTACGTTCGAAGACTACTGATTGTGGTTCTAATGCTGATGTTTAAAAGGTCAAAGGATATGGTCGCTTACTTCTTAAATAATTATTTATTTGGATGTCCATGTGGCACAAAGCACACTTTTTCATATAATTTTGGGTCTAGCTGGTAATAAACCTGCCCCTTCGAGAGGGGAGAAAGAGAAAGGCTTTAAAACTACTTATTCAAAGATGTCATACAATGACATAATACCTTTAACAATTCATGTTTATTTAGAAAAACGACCAACCACAAATCCTTCTCAATAAACACACCAGATACAGCATCAAACATTTAGAACTACATGAAACAGAAATTCTGTTGTTATTACTACTACTGTTGACACACTGTATAGTGTGGCTATAATAATCAGTGTTCAATGTTTAAGTGTCAAAGAGCATGGAGGAACCACTATAAATTATGTGATATATGCATATAAGCTTCAAACGAGTTTTGCAAGTTTGCTTTTCTTACTTTAAGAATCTAAATGTAAGGGCAAGTGATGTAGTTATAAGATATAGGTAATTACTATTCTATGATGAAGATAGGGCCTGCCCCTGTGGTGAACCATGAGCAACTGGGGGGTCAATTTCCCAGTGTCCCAGTAAATCTTGCATTTCATATGCCTGAAATGTTGGAAAGCACAACCCAGGGTAATGTTTATTTTAAGTGGCAAATTCATGAAATTATGTCATGGAATTGGAATTTTGGCATTTACAAAATAATTACTTTGTCCCGCAAAGAGTAAAGCTAATTATTAACACCTTCTTGGAAAATGTCTCTCTTTTAACTGAAAAAAAGGGTTTGACTGTGTCTTTGTACTGTGGATAATTTGTAACTGGTGAAAAACAACCCACCACACAGGAAAACAAGATGGCTTCCACAGCCTGCTCCATCAGAATTTTCCAGAAATTGTCCTTTGGTCACCTACATTCCCAGAATACACTATAATTATGAATGTTGTTTTAAATGTCTATCCCAGAAGCCAGGGCATGAGAAAAATGTTACTTTTCGGTCGAGTGGGATTCCTTTATGCTTCTCTCTATCCGTGTAAAACAAAACAAATTAAAAAAGATGAACATAATTTTTTCGCCATGCGCGTGCACGAGCGGCGGCGCGGCGGCCAATAACGTGGATGACGTCACTCCCGCCTAGGCGAGCACGGGGAGCCGGCCCTCGTGACCGCCTCCGTCCAGTGAGCAGCGGGCGCCGCGGACGAGCAATGTCTCGTGCCCGCGCACGCCATGCCGGTTTAATGAGTCGGCGGCGAGGACGTGCGCGCTCCCGACTTACTCTTTGTGTGGCGGCGTAGAGAGACGCGGAGAGGAAAGCCATGGCGGACGAAAAACCCAAGGTGAGCAAAAGAAAAAGCTGATTACGAAATGCCCGCGTCTTCCTCATACGCGTTATTTCCTAAGTGAGATCGATTCATCGGTATCTCCGCTGACTTGTGAGCCAAGCGATCGGCGAAATCTACCGCTGGACTAGCACCGGAAGGGATGTGAGCGAGCCTGCAGAGGCGGGCAGTCAGAAAATATCTTAACTTTTTTTTTTCTTCTTTTTAGTAGTCGTTTTCTAAAATCGAGGAGTGCCCCGCTTCTGCGGCACGCCGCGGAGGGCGGCCGGGGGCCCGTCCTGGGGGCGAGGGGGCCCGGTCTGCTCTCCTTGTTTTGGGCCCAGTGTGGACCTCGCGTGTGTCGGGCTGCGCGCTCATTGGGAGTTGATGTCTTCAAAACACCCCGGCGGCCCGGGCTGCCCGCTGATGCCCCCTCTCTCCCCCGGACCACCGCCGCCGGTGGTGTCAGGCTCGTCTTTTTCCCCTCCCCGTTCGCTTCGGGAGAGGCCGGGTTGGGATGTCTGGCGTCGGGAGAGACGGGGTGGGTTGGGGGGACGGGGGACGCACCTTCCACTTTCCACCCGAAGTTTTGAGCCGCTTCTAAGGAAGGGCGACCTCCTCCACAACACACGGGTCGGAAGCCGGCAGTGGTAAAAAAAAAATAAAATAAAGAAGACCCTTACGGATACATCATCTGTCCCACCTCCGCTCTCTACCTGAGCAGATGATGGTGCTCACCAGATGCCCAAAGTGTAGCTCTTCCGTGCGCAGTTGGTCTCGCTGTCTGTGGGGGGGTGGGGTGGGAAGTGTAGTTGTCAGACCTTTCCCACGAGCGTGGAGATATTTTCATGGACACGAGCATGCCGACCGGTGACACAAAGGTGTGTGTTTTGTTTTTTTTTAACCTGGACAACTGAAGTCATTCGTTAATGATTACAGTACTTTTTCTCAGACGCACAAAATCGCATGAGTAAGATAGTGGTTTCAAATAATAAGTAGACATTGTAGACTTATAATAAGTTGTGAACAGGAGTAAGTATTCTAATTCATAACATTTATGTGCTAACTGCAAAACATGTGGTTTTTCAGTCTCTAATCCAAGAAATATGTGGATTTTATACTTTTATACTGTGCACTTTTACGTACCCTCTGTAGAGTTAAAACCGCTAAATGTAAGATTATTGTTGTTTAAGCGCTGGGAAAAAAAAGTTTTGTGGGTTTCCGTGTTGTGGAAGATAAGCTGTGGGGACAGTTTGCTTCACAGCCTTACCTTTAAAGTGACTGCTGTCTTATTCCATGGGACTCGGGGTTTTTGCTGGCGACAGTGCCACGCAGTGGAAGAAGAGGAGTAAGCACAGGAACACCGATAGGAATCTGGGGGGGAACTGCGAAATGTTCCTGTAGAATTAAAGCAAGCCGTGCGTGGCTTAAAGCTTCTTACAGGCCTTGCAACCATCGTTTGGCCTTTTCTGAACAACATCTAGTTCATGCTCGCTGAGCCAGACTTACCGATTCCTTAATCCCTTCTTCTTAGTTCAAGCTCCCAACTCTCAGGGGTGGTTTTAGCTGAGGACACCTTGCACCGAAAGGTTTAGGTTTTGTGGTTGGCCTTCCGTGTCAATCACCTGTGCAGTGTATGTGTAGGTCTTAAACTTTTTTTTTTACAAAGAAGACATGGGTGATGTGACGCGAATACACAACCCATTTATTTTCATTTTGTGTGAGCGTTTCTGTAGTGGCTTGAACGAGATGTATTCTGCAGTCCCTCTTGTTAAAGAATATCTATCCCTGAGAACGAAATATGTGGTACATGCTAAGGTGGGGATTTGATATAGAAGCATTTCTAGTAGGCAGGAGTTTTTCATTGATCTAGAAGCAGTATAAACAACCTGGAGAAGATTCATCACAGTGTTCTTCATTAATGCATTCTTACCAGACTCCCTCAACGGGAATCCAGTCTCAGATTCCAGATGAAGAATGTGAAGAAGGAAGACTCTTGAAGAAGTTCTATCCTGATTTTATGTTTTTCACTAAAAAAAAAACAAATTGAGCTGCAGCATCTCCTTTTTTTCCCTCTGTTGGGTGGATCTGTAGACTTGAGTAATTTGCCCTGTTTGCTGCTTGAGTATATGGACAATGCCAACCAGGGAAGAAGAAGGATAATAATGTGAAGACTCACCAGGCAGAGGCTTCCCACAGAATGAGCAGGTTCTTATTGTGTCTTGTGGCTTCTGTCCTTTAGGAAGGAGTGAAAACGGAAAACAACGACCACATTAACCTGAAGGTGGCGGGGCAGGATGGGTCCGTGGTGCAGTTTAAGATCAAGAGACACACGCCACTCAGCAAACTCATGAAAGCTTACTGCGAGAGACAGGTATGGCTGGGGAGCAGCGTGTAGGGGTGGGGACATGCACAGCCTTGGGTTGGAGGTAGGCACTCAGCTTTTAATGCCATTACTGCACATCAGACATTGGTCCCTGACATCCTTGGGGTTTCAGTTTCCCCAGGGGCTTAAAATGCTTCAGAGCTTAATAGAATATTTTGTAAATGGTATGTATTCCTTCATTTTCAAATGCAACGGTAACATTATTATGAGTGACAAGTTACATACATGTGGGAAACATTTAGGGATTTTTATTCTTCTTTGAATGTTTTTTTATGTAAGATGCCTAAGGCACTAGAAGCTGTTCAGATAGACGGCTAAGTGTTACTGGTGTTTAATGTAAAACACCCCCTGCTTCTTAGTTCTAGGTGTGCAGGTTTACTCTGCGGAATGATGCTTTTAATCCAAACTCCTCAGAGGCTTGTCAGGCTGGTTTAGGATTATTTCCCTAGCAGCATTGCTCTATTAAGTAAAATGCGTTTATTTTGGGATGGCTTGGTGTGAATAATGTTGTTTAAATAAGGAACTACAGGGTAGCCTGATATCTGGTGATGCAAAATAACACCATACCACCCACCAAGAGGTAAAAGGTATTTTTCCAAAACACAGTGTAGAGAAAACTATTTGAACAAACCTGGTTGCTTTGGATGTGGGGTTGTGCATATGTGTTAGAGGGCTTCTCAGTATTTCCCTGCAGCTCTGCCTATTTTCTGGCAGACTGCTTTTGTGATCAACAGTTTGCTGACCAGCCTGGTTGATACAAGCCTGGTTGTTCCTCCTTACAGGGATTGACGATGAGGCAAATCCGATTCCGGTTTGATGGGCAGCCAATCAATGAGACAGACACGCCTGCACAGGTGAGAGCGCTGGCCACACAGATCCTGACTTGAAATGACTCTCTCGTTCCTAATGAGGGAATGAACTGCTGCCTTCTGAAATAGTGTGTTTTATCATGCACAGTGCATAACTAGGTGGAGTGTTTCTAGTGAGTCCTGTATGATTGTTTTCCTCAAGAAGATATTAGAAATTATGGAAATAGCTGTACTGTCTTTACTATGGAGTCACTCCTGACCTTTCATCAATCTGACATGAGTTACAATTTATGTAACAAAAAACAGATGGGGTTTATTAAATACATGTATGTGCAAAACAGTTTAGGTTTAAATGTTAGTGTTTTTTTTTTTTTATCCGGGAACCTGTTCTTTCCTTTAAGCTTGGAGATTTTGTCTCTTACAAGCTCACCCAAGCCACTCAGATTCATCTATATGCAGTATTCCAGTTCAGTGGCTTTGAGTTTATGGCCTACACAAACAAGCAGCTGATTTTGACATTTTTCTGACAAAATGGATGAGCAGTTGAGATACAGATGTCTCTGTTCAGCTACCCTACGTTTTCATGATTCTGACAGTCTGCAAAACGGCCCTACTAGTAGTAGTGGTACTAAATTAGCACTTCCAAGTCAGTGGAAACATTTCCTGTGTGAATTTGATCATTTCCCACATGTAATCTTTTTTTTTTCCTCTTAAACAGTTGGAAATGGAAGATGAAGATACAATTGACGTGTTTCAGCAACAAACAGGAGGCCTCTACTAAAAGCATCTTCAAAAAAAGACCTTTCCAGATACTGTTTCTTTGCAAACTCTTCCCATTATCACCACAGGATAAATTCAGTACAGAGGTAGAGAGGTTTTCACAGTTATCTTAACTACTGTTGTATAGTGTTTTCATTCTTCTGTTTCTCTTTATGTACATAAATAACCTCACATGATGGCACACACTCTTCGAGCTATTTTGAAGTGGCCCTTCTGACATTTTTTGACCAAAATGCTGAAAGCAAAATGGGAATTTGATCCCACAATTTTGGGAATTCTGGTGGCGTCTTTCCAAAATGAACCCAGTAAGTTATTTTTTCAGCTCATTCTTTGGGAGATTGAGAATTACTGGTTTTCTGATTTATTTTTCTTTTATCATTATCAGAAGATAAATTTTATATCTTTTTTTATTTGTAGTGATTATGTGTAGAATGAAACTTGTCTTAAGCATAGTTTGATTAGGCCATATGGTAAAAAGAAACCTGATAGTGTTTCTGAGTCAAGTCAAACATCTGTATTGTTTAATAAATTTCTTGTTAAAATAAAATGATTCTCTTTTTTAAAATTATTTTTGTCTGTCTAATAAAAGGTCAGCCAGTGATATCTGGAATGTAATATTAAAGGGAACAAACGTCATAAATTGAAAAAATCACCTTGGGTTTTGTAAAAAATATTGTGATCAAGAGTGCTTTTTAAAAATCAGAACATTTTAATTACTTCTATATAAGAGGCACATTTTGTGGCCTTTCATTGTATGAAAAACATAAGGTTCATTTAAGTGTGAGATTTTTCCATATAAGCTGGTGTATATAACTGCTGTGCAGAAAGGGATTCATTAATGGCTGTGACAGAAGAGTGTTTTTTTATTAATCTGTTCCTTATTTTTGTTCAGGGATCTGTTCACAAACTGACCACAGGTAACAGATACACTCCGTATTTCGTTTTGCATTATTCCCTTAGAAGTCCAACATGATTCCAGCTTCCTTGTTTTTTAATGTAAAAAAACCCCACCATTTAAGACTTTAATGATTTTAATCCACATCTTAAATACTTTTAACAAACTCGACTGTTTAAATGAAAACCTGAATTCCAAAGGTTATGCAGGGTCTTATTTGTAGTTAAGCATTTTAGATTTAAATGGGAGTCGAAGGAAACAAGTTAACCACCTGACTGCAGTATTGGTTCTGTGGCTTGACAGCTCCTTCTAGCAACAAGCGTTCTCAATTCCTTTAATGAACTAGAGCGTCTTTTAAAATAAGTTTAACATTGACATGTGTTGGAAATGTGTGGTGGGAGTGCGATCTGAACACATGACTTCCAATGGAAGAACAGATCAGTGTTGAGATGCACTACAGTTCCTCTCAGGTCTTGAATGTGTTGTGGAGATGGAGATTTGGGGTCAGACTCCTGTTGGGAGTTTCCTCAACAGGGAATCGTAGATGCAGTATGTACATCCGAGGTGCTCGTATTTGTCCAGTACGTCCCTGGGGAATGGAGGTGCATTTAGCATGTGGGCTTAGTGCTGTGGAAACAGACTGCAATGCAAGAGATGTGCAGGATGGTTGGTATGGACAGAAGATGCTTAACACTCCTCTGGATCACTCCTGGATGTTTTGTTTAATTGAACATTCGTTTATAGAACGCATCTGTTGTAAGGACGTAGCCGAGTTTGTAATGGCTTGGGAACACTTTGCAAGTCTGTTGGCGGCATCTAAATGTTCTTTGGAAGCACGAAGACAAGCCAGCCCTGGAGAATAATGTTTCATCAGAGGGTGACGTACCTTTCTTATTACAACTGCTGAGGGATCTGAACAGGCACAGCAGGGGTGAACTGAACAAACCTCACCCTCAGTGCCAGAATCTCAGCCTATCTTGAAGGATCCCAGAGCATCGATGGGAGACAGCTTTGGCTGGGCATTTTGTTCCAGGCATAAGGAAGCACTCGGAGCTGTATAAAAACAATGTCCGCTTTGACACTGAATATTTTCCAGTCGGCGAAGTTGTTCCCAGAGCTCTTCTGTGCAGAAATAACTTTAATAAGGGTACATACTGTATTATGATCATATCTGGTTATTGCAGTGATTTTTTTTGTTGTTTTTAATATTTCCATGCTAACTTGCGATGTCATTTCTGGCTTCTGTGACTGATGAATGTCTTCTAGATTCTCCATTGAATATTTTTCAATGCGCAAAGTACTTCCTTTATTGTCCCCAGTTGGGACATTTGGTTTGCAGGCAGGTGTACACAAGAAAAGTACACTCAGCACAACATGAATCCATTAACGGGAAGAAAAAAAAACTTAAGATTGGAGAGGAAGTCGGAAGCTTTCAATAATCCACACGGTGCAAACCAGACAAAAAGTTGGCTCATCAGTTAAGATGCACGAAGAAAATAAAAACTGAACAATTACCTGTGCGATTGAGCAGGCTTATAGACACGAGGAGGCAAGATAATGTCAGCTGTGTTGCACTTCAGTCTAGGAAGTCTAAATGCCCTGATGGAAACAGCTCGAGTTTACTGTGCAGGCGGTGGTCACCTCAGAGGTAAGGACCACATTTTAGAGCTGGCACCTGGAGAATAACCCCCCCAAAAAAATAAAAACAGTTCAACACGGCTGGAGTTTGAAGTGACCTGAAATTTGAAAGCACCACTGAACGGGCAGTTCTCCAGCTCGCTGATGGGAGACTGTGCTGGAGGGCTGTGTTTGGGGGCTCATCTTGTCTGTGCCGACAGATGTGTGCGAGTTTAAAGACGGTCAGAGCCGGAGGAACAGCCGGGGCGACTCCTGTGCGCACAGTGGCTCTATTGTGCGAGAAGGGCAGCTAACAAAAAGAAAAGGACACGGTTATTTTCTTGAATAAAAACTGATCATACAAACAGAAACAACAAGGATTGGATTTCCCTCGGGCAGTTGCACTGCAGCACGCCAGGCCACGCGAATACGCGTATTCCAAATAAGGGAACACAAGTTGTGATTGTTTCAGCAAAAAAAAAACGATCTAAGATCTTAGACTTAATTTCGTTTCGTTTTCATAGCTGTCCCGGTGTTGCCACGATATATTTCCCCCCGCATTGCTTTTTCTATATGTGGTTTCGTACCCAAGACATTGCAGCTTTTAGCCTCGATAGACTTGATCAGAGTTTATAATACAATCTAATATTTGTTAGCCCCAGCTCTAGTATCAGCTAGCAGGTGCCTTAAAAGACCACAATAATGGCACAAAGTCTGAATTAAAAATAGGTAAATAAAGGACATAAGAAGATACACGAGTGCAGCCTAGTCATGCAGCTACTGTATGTAGTTATTTAACGTGTGTCAGTTGTCTTGGTTTTACGAAATCGCCGTCGCGCTTGTCTTTAGCTGTAGGGACTTAAATAAAGCAGTATAATACGGGGCTGTAATTTCTGTACTTTTACAATACTACCTTTTTTCCAGATTTTATCCTCAAATGCCACCCAACGCAGAGCACCGCTCGGCTTCCAATTTTTTTTTTCAAAAAAGAAGGGGGGGGGGGGGGGGGGCGTGAACCGTTGGGACTCTTTTTTTTTTCCTCTCGAAACGCAGCCAATGAAAAGGCAGCACAAGAGACAACCCGAAGTTGACACTGACGGGCGGCGCCGGGACCCAATCACAAGGGAGACGCCGAAGACGGGAGCCAATCACGGCGGAGACTCCTCCCCCCCCCCCCACCCCCCGCCTCCCCCTTCCGTCCCGTAGGTGGGGATTTAAAATGCCGGAAAAAAAAACCGACGTTATACCATCGCGCAGTGGGGTTCTGGTTTAGTCAGAGCCGGGTGGAGCCAGAGAGAGAGAGAGAGAGAGAGAGGACAGGATTTCCACCACCGACCGACCTCCCCCCTCTTTTACTCGCTCGCAGTCTTTTTTTTTCCCTCCCCTCTGCGTACAGTCGTGCCCCCCGAATTTGTTTTTGGGGTATTATTATTACCGAACTGCCTTGAAAAACCAGACAGGGAAACAACAAGGGAGAGAGAGAGAGAAAGAAAACTGCCCTGTGAAAAAATGACGACGACGACCACCTTCCAGGGGATGGACCCCAGCTCGAAAAACAGTTCCAGGTAGGAGAGAGAGAGAGACGGTTGGGCGCAGACAAAAGGAAAATGGAAGCCCGTTATCTTATTAATTATGGGGCGCACGATTTGCGATTTGCCCCGATTTCGGCACAAACGGTGCCGATAGCGTCCGTCTGGGGGGCCCTGGCGGCAGGGCCGGCCTTCTTTCCGGGGGGGGAGAGACCCCGTTCAGAGATCGGGGGACGAGGGCAGAAATGTCCGGCGAGCGATTCTGAATGCCTCGTTAGCCCGCGTTGCGTGTTTCTTTATTTTTGTAGTCGATTACGGTGGAGGGTGTTTTTTTTTTTGGGGGGGAAGGGGGGTCAGAACTTTATTTAAAGGAAATAACCCCTCCTAGCCGGGCAGCGGAGTTCAGATGTGCTCTCTTCGTCGTCGTCGTCGTGGTGGTGGTGGGGAGGGGGATACACCCCAAAAATCGAGAGAAAGAGAGAGAGAGACGAGTTGTAAATCATACCCCGGGCGCAAGATCCGCGTTTAAGTGTTGTCAAGAACTAAAAAATAATATTGAACAACCCCCCCGCCTCCTCCTCCTCCTCCATTGCCTCACCCTCCGCAGATTGAGGGGAGATGCACACTCCGGTCGTGTGGCTGAGTACGGACACGACCTTATTTTCTGTCGCTAAATTGCCATTCAGCCGCTTGCTATCCAGACCCGGGCATTGGGATAACGCGATCCGGACTGAGCCTTTTTGCGATTTGATCTAAATCTCGTCCACTTTTCACAACCCACCCCCTCCCTAGTATGCTGGTGCGGCGTTGCCAGATAAGCGATAAAACGAGGGGGTATATCCTACCCCAGAATCGTGTGTCATTTAAATACTGATTGATTATATATTGCTCCTCTGGACGTCACGAGTTGATTCCCTTTTTTTTCTCCCCTCTAAAGGATTATGTTGTTAATCGTCTATGGCTTTAAAATAACAGTTTGGGCTTGGCTTAGCGTTAGCAGTGCTTTCCTTTCTAGCACACAATTTTATTTGTTAGGGCCCGTCATAATCTCAGAAATTTTCTTCTGAAGACGTGAAACCTTCATTATTATTTTTTTTTGCAGGCGTTGTTGGAAAGAAGTCGTTTTTTTGGGGGGAGGGGGGGTAATTCGCCAGTTCTCGACTCGTGTCGTTGTTATTGTAACGCCGTGACACTAACGTTAATTCTTTCATTTTCTGCCCCCTTTTCTCTTCGTCCGTTGGGTGGGGTCTCTTTTTTTTTTTCCTTGCTTAATCCGAGTCCTTTGTGGGTGCTGTGAGCTCATGTCTGCTCGCAAGGGGCTGCAGGGCGTCTGGCTCCGCCGGCCCGGCTCGCTGTGTGCACCAGGCGCGGCTGCTCTCCCCGGGGCTGGGACAGCTGCTCCGAGCCAGCTGGTAGACATGATCTTTCCATGAGGAAGGAGGAGAAGGCGGGGGGTCGTGGCCGCCGAGGAGGGCTGAGCGCATCCATTTTCCCCAGGGTTAGCGAGGTACCGGCGACTGCGGAGGCACGGCGGCGCCGCCTCCTCTCTGGGGTTGACACGGGCGGAAACGTGTTTTTAAAGTGACGCATCCCTGCGTATTTGCATGCTATTCAAAAGCGAGATGTAAAGCGTGCAAATGCGCAGGTGAATTTTGGTTTATCTGCGAAGCAAAGCAGATGGCTGGTTGGCTCTGATGTCTTATTTTTGCATTGATCTGGTATGGGTTTTTTTCTGTCCTCCCCCCCCTCTCCAGGCGTTATATAGCCTCCCTCGTTTTTATGCAAGCGAATGGTTTTGATTGATTTGAAGAGTTACCGCTCCCTATGGGTCCGAGACTTGAATCTGTCGCCGTATTGCGCGTTTGCGGAGGGAATCCTCAGGCGAGGAGGGCAGCTGGTCTGCTGGTGTCGGCATTGCCCGTCCGTGCGGCAGGGCGGTGCTGCAGTGCACACGCGTGGCGTGGCGTGACATGCGCTTGTCTCCTGGGCCCCTCACAGGGTGCTGCGGCCACCGGGCGGAGGCTCCAACATCTCCTTCGGCACCGGAGACGACGAGGCCAAAGCCCAGAACACTCGCAAGAACCGAACCGCCTCCAACATCTTCGCCGAGCCCGAGGACCCCCACGCTCACAGACGGAACAACCCGCCGGGTAAATACCGAAACCGCAGCTCCCCAATCAGGCTTGTCGGCCCCTCCTCTCCCACTCGGGGGAATCGCCATTCGCCTCAGTGAAGTGTCCAGCATCCTGTTGCAGGCGCTGCCCAGCTGGCAGCTGTCCCTGATGAGTCATCCCTCTGTACACCTTTGTCCTCATATTCTTTGCCTTTCAGTACTGTTAGTCTTCTGTAGTATGTCTGCACTCACTGTGACCAGAGGCTGTTTATTAACGTCTTACTGCTTCAGTAGGTGGAAGTGCAGTAGGTTTCATTATTACTGTGGGTAGATTGATCATGGATCCACTTCAGAGATTTAAAGACTTGCCATTATGCCATGTAATCCAGTAAGCCTTTGGCACCATCCTGTAGGTTCACAATGGTGTCCTTTCCCACCTGTTTGCATTCACATACATGTACTGCAGCTTGCAAACTTGAAGTGTATGACACACAGCGCCTCAAGAATTGTCCTAGTTTTAGCTAGAATGCTTTTCAGCAGTAGCCAGGTACTGCTTGATTTCTTGATTTTTTTTTAAATAGTTTTTCTGAATGGTTTTAAACTTGGCTAGGAAGCATGATTGCATAATACCAGCCTGTTGGATGAACTAAGACACATTTTCCCATTGTAGATGCGAAACAATTTAACCCATCCATGTAGCTTGCCACTTACTGTGTGCTGGGGCTTGACTTGTCATTTTTAAGTAGTCCTGAAGTATTCATTTATACTGAATTCTTGGACTGAATCTGTTCATTAATGAATTTAGCAGGAGGTATTTCAGTGCCAATAAGTAGTTTAAGTAATGTGCCTGTTAGGAGAGATTTTAAAGGAACATAAGTTATATTACTTTTTTGGGAAGATGATGGACTTTTGCGTGTTTTTCATGAATCTGTTTATAGAACACCTGTTTTAATAAACACAATATTGAAACAACAACCTGAGGACACAAGTAGTAACAATTGAAAAGTTTATTTCAAAAAATCCCCTTTTCTACACACAGGCTTGTGGGCCTCTTTGAATAAGATACACAGCCATATTGTTGACATCTGGATGGAAACCTTAAATCAGTTAGCTACTTGCCACCGAATGAGAGAGGTTGCCTCCAATCTTTTGCAGCTGTTCTTAAATCTGATATAATATCCCTTAGCTTTCAACTCTGTATCTGAATGGCTACAGTTACAATTCGTTTATATGCACACGAGAGGGTCTGAATGACAGGGTTTCTCATTTATTTTATAGGTACTATGATACCAAAGAAAACTGCTAAAAAATACACTGCCAACACTGAGCTCTGTTCAACATACAAGCATTAAAACTTTTCTTTCATAAGAGAGCAGTGCCCAAGTAGCTACATTATAAACATGTGCTCGGGAGCTCTGATGCCAGATCTCTAATGAAAGGGTATTCACTTGCTGCTGAAGTTCATTCAGTGCCTTCTTGAGTGTGTTATTGTTGAATTACAATAGCTGATTGAAAATGGTTTGTGCTTAATTAACAAGGGATTTACTGCGACTCCTTTTTGAGGGATATGTACTGTACAGTATGAACCTGTTTTTGCCTAAAAGTCTCCTGCATTGAAATTCATATTCTTGTTAGGTAAAATCACAACCCATATCATTGCAAATAAGTGATTTTAATTCTTTAACTTAAAGCATGTTTGCCTTTTTTACACGAGCTTGATTTGATTTGAAAAATCTATTCTGTTTTTGTCTTCAAAAAGACGTTCTCTTGGTTGTTGTTGTTTTTTCTGTTTCTTCTCAGTCCTTTTGCCAGTAACAACTAGAAACCAAGGCAGATGGTGCTCTATTTAATAAGCACACTTGCCTGGTGTCTTTGCAGGTGGGAAGCCCACAGGTATATTCAGTGGTGAACCCTCAGCTCCCCTGAGGAGGTGTCACCCCCAGCCTGTTGTACAGACCAACACTGTCTCGGAGGAAGCAAAAACTGGGGTCAGTACCTGGAACGGTTTCATGCTCCTTGAATAAGCATAATTTTGCATGGGGGTGTTTGATGACAGAATTTGGTTCTTATGTTTGTTTATCAAAACACATTTAAAGTACTTAAGCAATACAGATATTGAACCCCTGTGTTGGTCCTCTTGACTGCATCATTGACTGATGTGCCTGACATCCAGGAATGAACATGATAATAGCAGATATTTGCTTGACATTTCATTGAGAAACTAAGTGGGGTCATTGCATAGATTTCTAAGGAATATAGTTTTGTTTTTACCTGTAGTGGATTAAGCAAATTTGTATGGGCATTTTGTAGCTGCCACCTTTGTTTTTCAAAGTCAGGAGGTTCAGCTTAAAATCCTGGAATTCTAAACTGGTAAAACAGTTCCAGCTATCAAGTTTGATATTGTAGAGTTTAGTCGGCCTTGTAAATTGATTTGATTTTCCTGTAAACTTCACTACTGACTTACCATTTACCGTTTGTTTGCAGGATGGAGAAACCGAAAAGGCCAGTGCTGGTAAGATTTTTTTTTTCCTCAATATAATACATCTGCTCATATTTCTAAGTTATGGCTCCTGACGGCATTCATTACTAAATCCCTAAGCATTAGGATTTAATTTATTGAAAAATGATTATTTTGAGCCAAGTTGTTTAGTCCTTGTGTTATACCTAATTTGGGGGAAGGATAAAAACTAAAGAAATGCACGGTATTGAGAAATTAAGTTTGAAAAGCCATTAAAGGAACAGTAGGCGATACCAGCCTGATGTTTGCCTGCTAGCTTTAAGTGGGCACACAGCCTGTAATAAGGAAAGGGTGATTACAGTTAGATACAGCGTGAGCACTTCAGAGTCTTGGGTTCTACATTGTACAGGTCCTACTTTGTGTGTTTGCTGCTTTGTGTTCAGTTTAAGACCATAATATAAATACTGTCTTTTGCTTTGTTTATCTGGATGGGAACTGGTTTAAAGGCTTGGGGGCCTTATTGTTTTCCCACTTGATGTGTCCCTGTCTTCCAGTTATGCGGTGTCATACACACATTGTTCCTGGCTCTATAGAGCAGCTTGATAGTGTGCTTGAAGACAGACTGCTTCAGTATATTTTTCGCTTTGATTGTGGCGCCACAGATCAGAGTTTTCTGAAAGAATTGTCATGAATTGTAGAGTTAGAATTTAACTTGCTTTCACTTTTAGACAGATTTTGCCCCCAGGTGAAATTTTCGTTTATGGTTCCTTCCTTTGCTTCCTGTGGTTTTAGTCATAGTTTTGCTGTTTTGTTCTTAGTCAACACTATTGAAACAATAAAACCTAGTCAGATGTGCCTAGAGTTGAAATAGCATTTGTGCAAATTAGTATGTGAAGTACTGGAGTACTTGAACAGTGGCGTATTGGAGATAAGCCCATATTTTGTTTTATTAATGTGTGAAAAAACATTTTGTTTTTTTGGAGGGTATCTTTCTATATCAGGCCAAGACTAATTTTAATTTGGTCTTCCAATGTTAGCTTGTGCAGTTTCTTTTTTTCTGTGAATATCTAAAATACTTTTCACCTAGTGTCAGTAGAAAATCATGGGAATTGCCAGTTATACTTTTGGAAATGTAAGCTTTTTTTTTTTTAGTAGGAGGGAAACAAAATTCATTTTCCCAAATGAACATCCAGCTCTGCTGAAAATCCTAATACATTATGTGACCAGCAAAATAATAATAATAATTGGCTGTAAAGTGGACTTAGCATTAATCATGCACCTGTCAAGTGTTTACTTGTGTAGAAACTTAATTTACCTCTGTCATGGGATATTCTTTATTTGTGGTGTAAAGCCTGTCATTTTACAGTGGTGTTTCTATAGCAACTCAAGTCCTTAATTTCCTAAACATTGCTTATAGTTGAGTTTCCTTACAATAAATGAAAGTGGACAGGGCAAGAGTTGGTAACTGCAGGCAGTGTTTTGAGGTCATGAGCCTTCAGTAGTTGAGGAGACAAATGAGTTAAATACACAGATACTATTTTCCCTCACACTTCAGTACATTTTGTATCACCAGAGGTGATCTGGTTGTGAAAAATTCAGTTTTAATGTATAGTAGTATTTTGTCCCTTCCTGATTAGGAAAACGAATTCAAAATGTGATTTTGTTTTAATAGAAAATTCAGAAGAGGTTGAAAGTGTCCAGGAACAGAAGGAAGAGGCACCACAGCCCTCGGCGCCAACAGTACCTGCTGCTGCTCCGACTGGCCGGAGAAACCCGCCGGGGGGAAAGTCCAGCCTTGTCCTGGGTTGAGCTTGCTTTCTTTGAACTGTTTCATTTTTATTTTGTATCCCCCTTATCTGTGTGAGCCATGGAATTTCAATCTTACTTTTTTTTTTCTAATGCATCTACAGAAGCACTTTATGTATCTTTCATTTCAGCCCATCCTGTAGTGCACCAGGCCTGCTGGAAAAGGCATGAAGTTAAACTTGTCTCTCATTCTCCCTGATGTAAATGGTAAAGGATTTGATGCGTGAATTTCTAAATACAATAAAGATTGATATGAAGTTGCTTTTGAGTTCTTTTTGTTTCCTTTTTCTTATGGAGATGATGAAAGATTACTGCTGGTGTCAGGAATTCTGGGAATTGCAGTTTTTAGTTATTACTTTTTTACTTTAAAAATGTACGAATAACATGCAAGAATGGGGGTTTTCTCAGTGACTTTCACCCAACTCGGACTCTTATTTACCCTGGTCCTATTCATTCTGCAGCTAGTGGTTAGCATTGCTGCCTCGCAGCATTGGAACCCTATGTCTGATTACAGACCTGAGGTGCTGTCTGTGTGGAGTCTGTATGTTCTCCCTGTGTTTGCATTTCCCCCAGGCGCTCTGGTATCATACCATAGTGTAAACATAACGGTGGGTTAATTGGCTTTTGCCTTGTACCAGTTTACCACGGTAGGCTCTGGCTCCCCGACGACCCTGAATTGAAAGAAGCTGAAAATGGGGAAAAAAGAAAAATGGATGTGCAGTTTCATTATTTCTAGGGTGCGAGAGCATCATTGTGATTTACTAGCTCTTGGGTCACAGATCCCTGCTCTGGTGTCCATGTTGTGCTCTTGCTCTTCAATCCAGCTGCATAGTTTGCCTATATTGATGACTTGCTTTGATGCAAAGCTTTCTCCCATCACATTGCATCTCCTGTGCAATAGCAGGGACTGGCTAATCGGATAAAGGCAAGGTGTTCCATCTTATTCATGAGGATTTAAAAAAATATTTTACTCCATAAGAAGGCTTGGAGCTAATTGCTTTTGAATGTGCCAGTTGAAGTGTGTTTTTTGTGCTTCTCATAGAAGCGTTTTAATGTCAAAGCTATTGCCAAATATAAAAGAATCATTAGCATTTGGACTCTGAGCCTCATTTTAAAAAAGGAACAAAATATAACATTGCTATTATCTCCTAATTATTATTCTACCTTTTGAGAATGTGAGAATTAAAGCTTGCTTTATTTTATCTTACGGAAGTCAAGCACAGAGAGTTCTATATGCAATCTTAATGTTCTGTGTTTCTCATTTTTATTCAATTTGAATGTAGTGTCGATCTACAAAGGGGCATAATTCAGCCAGCGGCCATATCACCCTGGAACTCACAGCTGGCAGCCCCCTGGAGCTCAGCAGGTATGAGCCTGGTCAGTACCAGACTCCTGGGAAAGCTAAGGTTGCTGCTGGAAGAGGTGTTAGTTGGGCCAATAGGGGGTGCTCACCCTGCAGCCAGTGTGGGTCCTAATGTCCCAGTATAGTGATGGGGACACAATACTGTAAAAAAGGTGCCATCCTTCAAATGAGATGTAAAACTGAGGTCCTGATTATGGTCATTAAAAAGGGCATTTCTTGAAAAGAATAGGGGTGTTACCCTGGTGTTCTGGCCAAATTTCCCCCTGGCCTATACCAGTCATGGCCTCCTAATAATCCCCATCTCTGAACTGGCTTCATCACTCTGTTCTCCTCCCCACTGAGAGCTGCCGTCACATCGTCCAGGTAGGGCTGCACATTGGTGGTGTGGAGGGGAGTCCCCTTAACCTGTAAAGTACTTTAAGTGGATTGTCCAGAAAAGCGCTATATAAGTGTAATATTACTAATATTGTTTTATTCTTCTTCTTCGAGTAATCGAGGTCTTCAAAGCACTGAAAGTCAAACACTGGATTTCGTTAGAATCAGCAGTGAAACTAGTGGTGTGAGTGGAAACTAAAAGGAAGGCATTTAAAACATGAGGCGGGCCTTTACGCAAAGGGTGGTGGGAGTGTGGAACAAGCTACCCAGACAGGATTCTCTCAAGAAATGATTGACGAGATTCTTGAATCAATTAGTTTCTGACAACCAAGCCTAAATTAGGCCAGTTGGCCTCTTGTTCGTGACAGTTAAATCAAACAGTTGATCCTTAAGTACAAGTTTTTACTATATATGTTCTATATATTTCTTGCAGTAATATGGCAGATATAATACATTTCATAGTAAAAAGATGCTTCTGTGTAAATGTACTCATAAAATTCATATCTGACGATTAATACTGCTGTTGCATATGATAGAAATTCCCCCCCAAGGTTTCAACTGAAAAACAGTACAGTATTTAAAAGTTTGTCCACCAGGTGGCAATGTTATATAAACTTTTAACTTTTGTGTTCAATATAATATGATATATTGATGTATAACGCTGCTTTGTTTTTAACAATCTGTTCTATTTAAAGAGACTGTTGTATAAAATATCACAATGCACTACATTGTAATTAAGACAGTTGAAAAATAATACTTAAAAAGGCCAGTTTAAAATAGAGATAAAGGTTGAACATAAAAGACTTTTTAAATCACAGTCTAGTTTTGGGACAGACAAGATATGAATCGAAAAACCAGAGGCTCCTTGTAAGTCATTAATAAGACTCTAAAGGTCTATCCTATATTCAACTGGAAGCCAGTGCAGAGATTCTAGAACAGGAGTAATTTGTTGTGAGCATCAGACAAGACCTTAATTAAAAATTCTAGCTGCTGAGTTTAGAACATATTGTCCAATACTTAATTGTCGTAACAACCAGCTGCGTGGAAATTGGTATGTTAAAGCTCTTACAATTAAAGACAATATACCATATGAAGTCGATAATACTAGACTGCAGTAGCTCGGGTGGCTAGCTTTGTCAGCATGCGTAGGCTGCAAAGGAACAAGTAAAGGTTGATTCCCTGCTGAAAAGAGAAGAAAAACACAACGTTTTGGCTTTGGAGCCTTCTTCGGGTGTAAGGTTTTTGCTCACACCCGAAGAATGCTCCACAGCCGAAACGTTGTGTTTTCTTTCTTCTCTTTTCAGCAGAGAATCAACATTTACTTGTTCCTTTGCAGGCTACACATGCGTGACGCTGCTACCCAACTGAAATATTTGTTTTATGTCGACTAACCCTTCGTTACTCTGCATTTAACAAGTTCAGACATTTTTCCTGGCTTCTAACGAAGGTTACGCAGTTTGTGCCAAGAGCAATGTCACTGACCACATTTATTAAAGCCGTCAGCATTTACATTCGATCTATTCGATGCTTGACCTACGTCTAATATTAAACATAGTTTAATTCTTATTAATTAATATATTTCAGTGTTTTCAGTTATTGGCGTTAAAGGTTAAACATTTCATTTCACCGTTTCTGGAGCAAATACATTGTTTTTTTCGGAACTTTTTTTTTTAATTATGGCGATGGTTACAGAACCATCGCTTTAGGTGAGGTAGATTATAAAAGTATAGCGTACATTTTTAGACGGGGCTTGCATTCACTTGACCAATTCACTTTTTCCCCGTTCGTCCTTTGTCGTAGTACGTAGAAAACGTTCTCTTGAAAGCAATACCGTACGACCTTAAGAGGAAAATAAAATCCCCCGCAGAGGCGAAGCGAAAGTGAAAGTGTCGAGGTTTGTTTAAAAAAAAACAGTCAGATGAAGGCGGCTGCTGTCACACGGTTACAAAAGTGTCGCGCTGTTAAGTGTTTGGTCTTTTCTGCGCCCGAATTTCGTGACGGGAAAGGAAAGGATTTGTTAAAGCGTCCACACTGAACTCCTCGAAGGCTGTTGTCGGCTCAGGTAAGACATCTTGCCTCTTAACTGGCGATTTACAGTGACGTGCTGGGAGACGCAAGACTGTTGATATCTGTTACACCCAGTCGACGGTGCGCTGTCGGAGCTGGTATCAGTTTTGGTCAGAGCAATTTCAATGTCTTCAAATCTGTAGTGCCACATCTTCCCCGTGGCTGCTGTATGATGGGACTTCACTCAGGGGCTGACGACTACACGAGGCACAGCCTCTCGTTTATAACCTTTTCTTGAGAAATCCGAAGAACAGCTCATTTTAGATGAAGGAATACTTTTTACGATGGAAATGACTTTGGTCGATCTCAACGAGCTTGCTTTCTTTCTGCAAAGAAGCCGATGAAGGGGCTTCAACATCACGACGGGCGTCTTGCTCCACACCCCCACCACCCTTTGTGTACAGAAACGTCTACCGCTCTGAGGTTTTAACGCGCTTCCTCAGGGGTGTCCATTGGGGTCCTCCTGTTCTTCTTGAGATTTTGTGCTGTTTCAGTGCCAGCCTGCTACTGTATGATAAATACTATAATATATTAAAAATAAATCGAAGCCATTGTCACATCACTTTGAATAACCACTTATCCAGTTCAGGGCCATGGCAGCCCAGAGCCTATCGCAGGAAACGTTGGGTGCAATGTGGGGGTACCCCCGAACGGGGCAGTCCATTCCACCACAGATCAATTGAAGTATTTATCCTTAACTGAATCACACAACATTTTTCTCAGTTAAAAACTATTTCAGGGAAAGGGAAGTCTGTAGACGTCTTGATCTTAACATTTTAGGGACTTTCCAAGAGGCATGTCTGCTTCCTCATGGTGTTAGCTAATTTCCTGTGAAGGCCTGAAAAGAGGAAGGCTCTTGAAGCAACAGGGACGTTCCTGAGAAATGTGTGACCCTCTCCCAAGTCACCTAGAATCACTTTTAAAACACGACTTGTGAACCAGACACAACAGGTCATGATGTGTGGGAGTGCAGGTGGGTTTATTTAAATCAGAGGCTGCCCAGGCCTGCTCCTGTTAGCCCCAGGATGTGTGCAGTTGGTTGTCAATACTGGTGCTGTTGTGACTTGCTCATTCGTGATGAAGGTGTGTGAACTGATATGTGGGTGGGAGTGTTGTCACCCACTTTTCACCAGCTGATTCATGTAAGGAAAAGTTGCAGGTTGCAGGTCGAAGGTTTGGGTTTGGGTTTGTGCTTCTAGTTGCGCTTCTTTTTAAAAAACCTTTTCTGCTTTAAAAAAAAAAAAGATGGATAAGGCAGATTAACTTGAAAAGAGGTGAAAAGGGCAAAACGTGGCTTTCGTTTTGACAGTCCTACTCCCTCCCTTCCTTACTTGGCAACATCGTGTGGACTTTCCTAGTTAGAGTCTAAATGCAATCACCCAGCAAGGGCAGTGCAACCTACGCATGCTGACGTTGCTGCTAAAATTGTGATTTGTTAAGTAAATTAAGATCATTC